TTCGTTGATATGCCGCTTTAGTAGACTTCTGCAACTTTCATAGGATCAGGGCTATTCTCAACAGAATTCACATGGAGTGTGATAGCTTCAATCGAGAGTTCCGACTCTACCACGGGAAGGGCGGCCTCTTCATTGGCAGAGCCATCCAGAGCACGGACCGTCGACAACGATGGCGTCGTCTCCTTCGCGCCCTGGACGCACCCACCGGACTTTGACATTGGGTTCGACCGCGATGGCTTGTGGTACTCCAACACCATACCTGAAGCAGAGAGCACATGAGCCTTAGCAGTGATCCAAGAAGCAGAGGAACAGGAACGGGAAGCAGAGGAAACAAAAGCAGAAATACAACACGAAGCAGAACCGTAAGCGCCGACACGACAACTTCCTAGACGTCCCTATCGCTGGGACCTCGTCGAGGCCAACCGTCGAAGAAGCTCCGCCTGAAATGGAATCCGTCAAAGAGTCACCATCGACCAAGACCGAGCAGCTGAAGGCGCATCCTCGTAAGCAGCATCAGAGCGCCGCGACCGTCTCCGCATTCTACGCTAACTCGAACCTGTATCGTCGATCTGTGGAACACAAGGCAAGCGAGGAGATTTGGCATCAACGGTTAGGGCATCCTGGAAATTCAAGACTATTCATACACCACTTGGCAGGGTGTACGACTGGGTGATGCCCTTTGTACGACAGATATGGCCAGGTCGACCGGAGGTAAACTCGCCACCACCATTGGAGTGGAGACGCAGCACTGGGAGGCCGCGGTGGACTCGCGCAGCTACGACCCACGGGATAAGAACGTCATGTATGTCGGCCTTCCGCTCCAGGGGAAACACCGTGGTGTAGCGCATGTAGTCGTCGACAAGCACTAGAAAGTAGCGATCTCGAAGCAGCCCAAGGACGAGGGCTGGGCCCCAAACGACAAGGTGCAGGGTCTGGAGTGGTACAATGGTAGAGGGGAACGAGGAGGAATGAGGAGCACGGTACAGCCGGCCCTCGACGCAAGGTTCACACAGCGGCGCTTGCGAGGTGGGAAGGGCAGGGAGCAACGCAGGAAGACCAAAGACCAGACCGTGATGGGACATGTGACGCAGACGTGGGAGTGCGGGGTGACCTAGGCGGTGTTGCCACAACACCGCCGGGTGGGTGAGCGACCGACACAAGCAACCCGCGGCAACCTGGGTCGCCGCAGGCACCTAGGGGGACGCCCTCTTTAGGGGGAACGCATTGTCAAGCGTAAACATGCCAGACACAGGGTCCCGAGGGAACGTGGCCAGAGGGGCACCAGTGGTGGCCTTGGAACTATCTGGGGAACGTAGTGGTGACACCGAGGTCCTGAAGACAGCCGACACCAACTAGGTTCCTAGAGAACGTGGGATGTGAAGGCCTGTAAGAGAGCCCGAGGGGACCGCCGGACAGGGAAGGGTAGTGGAGCTACGAGCTACTACCGGACCTCAGGAGGGGTCGCCAAGCGCTACAGCGGCAGGGGCAGTAAGCGGCGTGAGCGCAATGTGGTCACGAAAGAAACAGGCGAACGCACCAGAGTCTAGCGTAAAGGAGAGCAACGTAGTAGCGTCAGCCGGCGGAGGGGCTAGCGTAGAACCTAGGCTAAACAAGGCAGAGGGTCCTACGCATGACGCAGCAGGGGAGCCTAGACTACACACAGGGAACACACCTACGGTAGGTAACATAAGGTAATGGGGTCCAATTACATTAGACTCAGCAGCATACATGACAGACATAGCAGTCCTAATGTGATCTATATCAAGCTCAAAGACAGGCACACGACGGCGAACTAGGGCGCACAAGTCAGGAGGGTGCGACGTGGGACCAAAGCGGTGGTGGAAAAGGTCATACAAGTGGCAGTAGCAGCGAACGGCAGTGTGACCGGGACGGTCGCAGACCGTGCCGCGACGGGGGCCGGTCTGAAGCTGGTACTGGCAGGTGAACGCAATGGAGCTGCCACCCGACACCGAGCTGTGCTCGCCACCTCCACGACCACCACCACTAGCACTGCCAGTCCACCACGGCGTCAGGGGTCCCCACGGCAACTGCTACGTCGGCTGCTGCTGCTGAGGCTGCGTCCGCTGCTGCTGCAGTTCCGGGGCACCAGCCCCTGTCCCCTCGTCCGAACCACCATCCCTGCCCCCATCGCCTCCACCCTCCCCACCCTTACGCCCCTTTCCTCCGCCACGCCCCCCCTTGGAGCGGCGGCCCTTACCCGGACGTGGCTGCGCTGAAGCTGCAGCAACTCGCAACGTCGTCGGTGTGCGACGCCGGTTGTCGTGGTGGGTGACTGGCAAGATCGCTGGCAGCAAGCATAATCGCGGGAAAGAGGTCGCGAGGTGGCATCGAAACTGCGTCACTGGGACAATGAAGAAACCCGTATCGGTCCTGTGAGGCCGTTTTTGCCGACGCGGCCCATTGTGACACGTCCTAAGTACGCTTGAGTCTGGTGCTTATGTTCCAAAGTGTCAAAGTGTTAGAACCCTTCCCGAACGTGTGGAACCTTTTGGATCTCAACTACTATGTACTCACCTATGGACGCCGTTTCAGCGACATACTCTTCATGCCGTAGGATGCAGAGGATATCAGCGGTAACGACTATTGCCATATAATTACCTTCATCGACGACGCTACTGGATATGTCTGGCACAAGAATACCTCTCACAATTTGAAGCTCTCAACGCCTTGAGCTATGGCTGAAAATAGCGGAGTGGTAGAGCGACATCAAGCTGAAAGAGATCCAGACAGACAACGCGGGCGAGTACACTAGCGAGCAGTTCGATGAAAACCTGCCGCATAAAGGAATTCTCATGCGCAAGACTGTGCCTTACGCCCATCAGCAGAATGGAGTAGCTGAGAGGATGAACAGAACGCTGTAAGAGAAGATGCGCGTGCTGCTGCAACAATCCAACTTTACAACATATTTTTGGCCGTTTGCGATGGCGCAAGCTGTTAGACTACATAACTGCATGTCTTCAACAGCTCTCCCTCAATTCAGCTTGCCACACGTGATGTGGACAAAACACCCCGCCGACACTCGACTTTTATGAGTTTAGGGCTGCATGGTTCAATACAGGCCTTCGAGTGCAACTGTTCGCAGATTTACTGAGTCAACAAGGAATGGCGATGGTTCTGTCTCTTGACAGCAACCTATATAATTGTGCTCTGGTCACAGCATTCTCGAACAGTCACAGCATTGGCTTTGTGACTTTGTCTGACAAGCCTTGCTAATACACCTCTTCCACGGAACACTCCGCGTCAATGACCGAGCCGCGCCAAAGAGTATCGGTAGTGCTGGTAACTCCTGGCAAAACAGATTGTAGTTGATACTTCCACCGTGATTTTTTTGCCGCTAGCATATTGTTCTGTTTGGTTTCAAGTGTCTTACTCGAGAGTCATGAGGTTGTCGCGAATTGCGAACACATCAACGAAATTTTCGCCGACATTTCACATCGAATGTAAGGGTGATCTGGAGTCAACCGCTATGGAGTGTTCCGTGGAAGAGGTGTATCCTGTTTCAGTACTAGTACACGTTCTGTAATCAGGTGTGGTGATTCAGCGTGCTTTGTTGAGGGCTCTAGCTGACCTGAATAGGACTTCGATTTTGCATGAAACTAAAGCGCTACAATACGACACAATACGTTTTACCACGGTAAAGGTCGGTACTTTGTGAGACCTGCAAATCAGAGGGGAGGGGGGGGGGATAACCCCGACGGGATGTCCGTGAACGTGGAGTGCAGCCCATCAAGACGGAGGTGGTAATGAAAACATCGACAAGTTAGCCAAGATCTTTTCGTAGACAATTGTGTAGTGTCGAGTGTGTCACTTTTCTATTGTAACAGAAGATGTTCAATTAACGATAAATATATGAGGTCTAACTTGCGCCAAACTCTGGAACGTGACATGTTTAGGGTGGAGACTCGTGTGCAAGAGACTGTGTGGCCTACTTCAAGAATGGCCATATTGATGCCCCCATTGCCCCTACCCCTACTCTACAGGATTGCACATATATGCAATTTTTTGAAAGCGTGTAACGCTTTATAAAAATTATGTATTGCGAAAGTGTAGCAAAGGCCAATGCAGCAAAGACAGTGTTGAAGCGTTACTCACCCTCTTTTGCGTACAAAAGAGGGACGTGAGGCCATTCGGTCTCACCCACGTTCTTCATTTCTAGTTCTCAGTTTCATTTTCCCCACACACCCACCCTATTGTATGTGTAGTGTTAACTGGACAAGAACCATGTACTCAACCCATATGAAATGAAGAGCACTGCCTTTGCTAAGAGAAACTAAGCAAGCTTTCACAATATGGTACTAGTCCATAATTTGTATGCAAAAATGTATGGTACTGCCGTATCATGATTCAACAACAATATGGCTTCAGCCTATCTTCGCCTTAGACAATACACCATTCCCCCTCATATAACAGAAATTGAGTCTCCTGTCTAGCCAGATTGGGGTGAAGCATGAATACCACCTCATCCATCCATTCAATTTCAGCCCGCTTTCCCATTGACTGGAGTAGCCTACGTCAAATACTCCATCCTCACCCTGAAGCTGTATGCTTTGCGCAAATTAGGGGAGGAGCTGAAGTATAAGGAGCGATTCACCCAGGCTATGGGCACCCGCCACTTGATAGAGAAAAGCACAAGGATGTGTTAGCAATTTCACGAATAAGAAGCCAAACCTTCAGAAAGAAATGCAAACAGATACAGATGGATGGATGAATCAATGTCACGTACTTGTATGTTTGACCAAAAAAACTGAAATTCGTGCAGCCTTTCTGCCTTAGAGAAGTCGCACTCAAGCCATGCTTCCCTTGAAGAACAAAACCAAAATTACCTTTGTGGGTATCATTTTGCTGTTGACAAACACTGCCTCGGCAAACGAGGAGTGTTAAGAGTGTTAACAGATGGAGAATGGGTCAATGGAAGGCGGATCAGTGCAGAATGAGAGTGAGAGTGAGAGTGAGAAAGGAAAGAGGGAGAGAGAATTGTTAGGATTAAGGACAGAGTCTAGGTGAACTTAGGAGCTAGAATTACTCAAAATATAAATCCGAAATTCTGGACAGAAAAGTCGTCTTCACAAGAAACGACGTCGACAAAACACTAGCCGTTGGAATGTCGCGAAACTTGGATATGTTGTAGCTCTTGATCTCAGCTACCGTTCCCAATTTGAATCACGTTGATTGATGAAGTATTCGCGACGCTATGGCTTTCGACGCACTAGGGGGTAAGCTGTAGGAGGAGAACTTAACTCAATCTCAAGAGTTCAATCAAAGTTCAAGAATCTCACAAGGAATTAGAAGGAGCAAGAGAAAGGTTGGGATAGGAAGAGAGGGATGAGAGGGAAGGTCCCAAGAGAGTCCCCAACCAAGGAAACCCCATAAGCACAAAGATTCCCTCCCTATAGGAACCCCAACTTTGACATTTGTCCCTTCCCAACCAATCCATCCAAGTTGGCCACCCTTGCCAACCTAGCTTGGTTGTTCCCAACCAATTTGCAGCTGTTACAGTAGAGTGACAAGTTTCCCCAACCCCAAAGGTCCCAACTCCATATAAAGTCACCCCACAACTTCACTTAGTAACCGCCGCAATTGTAACGCAAGCTCATGAACTTTGAATCTTCATAGCTTTCGCGTTCTTGCTCCGATTGAAGCGATTCTTGTTGCGTCGGAAAGATCTTCTCAAGATCTATTATCACAAATACCTGCTCAGACAGAATAACACAAAACACATTCCCAAACTCCAGAACACACCACACACAAATGCTTGCACATTCAAACCACACATGCAAGTTGAAAAAACATGGGATGGGAGGCAGACAGAATGTGATAGCATATGATGACATCACACAACAATCTCCCCCTCTGGCTGCCAACCATCATCGACCATACCACATCTCAAGCATGCATACTCAATGCACACTCATCCCAGCAAGCTTCATGCCCTTCCAATGATCCGCCTCCGCCAGACGCTTAGTGAAAATATCTGCTGCCTGCTGATGGGTCTTCACTATCTCCAGCCGCACCTCCTTATCAAGGAGTCTCCTCACCCAATGCCACTTAGGCCTTATGTGTTTTGTCAGCCCATGCAGACAAGCATTCTTGGCGAGCTTCACAGCGGACTCATTGTCACAAAACACAACTGTCGGCTTCTCCTGACCAACTCCCAACTCCTCCAACAAACGCCTTAGCCACACTACTTCCTTGGCCCCATGGTGTAAGGCCATGTACTCAGTCTCACATGAGGACAATCCCACCTCATTCTGCTTCTTGCTGCGCCAGCTCACAGCACCACCTCCTAGCAAGCACACATAACCCCCAATGCTGGTGCCATCCGCTTTCACTGAGTTGAAGCTAGCGTCAGTATAGCAACTCAAGAGCATCTCTCCACTCTTCACATCTGCAGCACCTCTCTGCAACCGCTGCCTCACTCCACTGTACTCCAATCCCACTGATGCCGTAGCACTCACATAGCGGACCAACCTCTTGGCCGCTTCCAGCTGCTCATGACTAGGGCGTGAGACCACACTAGCCAACCGTGATGTAGCAAATGCAATGTCAGGCCGTGTATGATTTGCAGGATAATTCAGCGACCCAACCATCGAATGAAACAGCTTCCTGTCACTATCACCCACTACCTCCTCATCAGCACATGGCTCCACAGTGAACCCCGAAGGTAGTGGTGTTGCTGGCTTTCCCCCATCTTGCAGCCCATACTTCTCAGCCAGCCCCTCACAGTACTTCCTCTGGTGCAACCTCAGCACACCCTTTTCCACATCTCTCTCCACGTGCATCCCCAAGTAGTACTTCGCCTCACCCATCTTGGAGCACTTGAACTGCATCTCCAGCATCTGCTCTGCGCTGTCCAGCAAAGCAGTTGATGCAGAAAAGAGAAGGATATCATCCACATACACCAAGAGCATGAGGATTTCATCCTTCTCCTGCAGCAGGAACAGGCTGGGGTCACACTCACTCTTCTTGAAACCCCCAGCCAACAGCGCCTCCTCCAACTTGTGATACCATGCACGAGGCGCCTGCTTAAGGCCATAGATGGCCTTCTTCAGCCTGCAGACCCTGCCGCTCCCGTCATCCAGCCCCTCTGGCTGCTTCATGTACACCTCCTCCATAATGATCCCATTCAGAAAAGCAGTCACAATGTCCATCTGCCGTATCTTCCATCCCAGGAGTGCAGCTATCGCTAACAGCACCCTCAGTGTTGTTCCTTTCCCCACAGGAGCAAACACCTCATCATAGTCCTTCCCTTTTGTCTGCTGAAACCCCCTTGCCACAAGCCTGGACTTGTAGCGGGTCAGCTCCCCTTCAGGTCCATACTTGTGCCTGTAGATCATCTTGGAAGTGATTGCCTTCTTTCCAGGAGGCAAGTCACACAGGTCCCATGTCTCGTTCTCAATTAGGGACCCGAACTCCTCATCCTCACTCGCCTTCCACTTCTCCCCATTTGGTCCATTCAAGGCCTCCTCTCGAGTCTTGGGCTCAGGGATTGGTGCCCAGTAGCAGTGAGCGATCTCATCTTCCTCAATCTGCTCAACCACACTCCCAGCCTGCACCACATTCGGCCTGCCTCTTCCCCCATAGGTCAGCCTCACTGGAGGGCGCACATCCCTCCTAGGACGCTCAGGCGGGTGTGGAACTCGAGATGGAGACTCATGCTGCTGCTGCTGCTGCTGCTCTACTGCTGTTGGAGTCTTCCCATTCCAAGGGATGATGGGCAGCTGCCACAGGTCCTTGATGCAGCTGGTCTCCTCTTCCAGACTCCACAGCACCTTCTTCCCAAGCTTAGCACGGCAGCTGGTTGGTCCAAAGGTCACTTCGGCCTTACTCTTCTGCAGTCGCCGCACAGAGAGAAGGTTAGCAGACAAGCCTTTAACCAGCAGAACATTCCCAAGCCCCACAAGCTCCCCATTAGCTCCCTTAACCTTGGCATTCCCAACACCAATCACGGGGAGCAAAGCACCTGACGCTGCTGCCACATACTTAATCTTCCCAGGGGGTTTTACCTCATCAAGCAAATCTGCCCGTGGGGTCATGTGACTGGTGCAACCCGAATCAATCACCCAGTGCGTGAGAGGGTGCATCACAACCTTTCCCACAAATCCCACATCACCCTCATGCCCATGCACATCCTCAACCATAAGAAACAAACCAGGATAGGCATTACCTTGTGCACCTTCACCTTGTGCACCTGAGCCTTGCACAGCGCCACCTTGTGCGCGTTCACCACTGGGTGGCTTCATGCCTGGAGGTGCCCATCCCTCCGGCCTGCTGAAGCACTTGAACCAAGGATGCCCTATCTTCTTGCAGTACCAGCAGGTGCCCTCCATTCTGGTACTCCCCCTGCCACTAGAGCTCCCATGCCCCTCATTATAGTCACCTCGGCCTCTACCTCTGCCAAAGCTCCTCCCACGGCCTCGGCCTCTCCAACCCCCTCTTCCTCTGCCGCGCCCTGCAGCTCCATACCCCTCAGCAGTCTTAGTGGCAGCACCGCCTCCCACATGGCGTCTGCGGAAGTCCTCCTGCAGAATCTGCTGCCTTAGCCACTCAGGTGTCCATTGATCTTGTTGAGAGTTGAGGGTGGGGATGAGGTTGTCCCAAGAGTTGTCCAACACCGAGATGATCTTGGTGCACTGCTGCAGCTGAGATACACTGCTGCCCGCTGCTGCCATCCTTGCATAGGTGTCCTTGATCTTGTCAAGGACCGGCTTCACATCGTCCCCTGGTCGCATGGAGATGGCAGCAAGTTCCTTCTCGAGCACGATCACCATCAGGAGAGTGTTGGGCTGAATCACATCGCGTAGTAGTTTCCACGCCCTTGGACCCGAATCATCCGCTTCCACAAGATCCTTGATGTGCTCGAACATCTCCTTGTTGACCGATTGAAGGATGAGGTCGAAAAGCACCGTGCTTTTCTCAATCCACCGTGTTTTCTAAATCCGAAATTCTGGACAGAAAAGTCGTCTTCACAAGAAACGACGTCGACAAAACACTAGCCGTTGGAATGTCGCGAAACTTGGATATGTTGTAGCTCTTGATCTCAGCTACCGTTCCCAATTTGAATCACGTTGATTGATGAAGTATTCGCGACGCTATGGCTTTCGACGCACTAGGGGGTAAGCTGTAGGAGGAGAACTTAACTCAATCTCAAGAGTTCAATCAAAGTTCAAGAATCTCACAAGGAATTAGAAGGAGCAAGAGAAAGGTTGGGATAGGAAGAGAGGGATGAGAGGGAAGGTCCCAAGAGAGTCCCCAACCAAGGAAACCCCATAAGCACAAAGATTCCCTCCCTATAGGAACCCCAACTTTGACATTTGTCCCTTCCCAACCAATCCATCCAAGTTGGCCACCCTTGCCAACCTAGCTTGGTTGTTCCCAACCAATTTGCAGCTGTTACAGTAGAGTGACAAGTTTCCCCAACCCCAAAGGTCCCAACTCCATATAAAGTCACCCCACAACTTCACTTAGTAACCGCCGCAATTGTAACGCAAGCTCATGAACTTTGAATCTTCATAGCTTTCGCGTTCTTGCTCCGATTGAAGCGATTCTTGTTGCGTCGGAAAGATCTTCTCAAGATCTATTATCACAAATACCTGCTCAGACAGAATAACACAAAACACATTCCCAAACTCCAGAACACACCACACACAAATGCTTGCACATTCAAACCACACATGCAAGTTGAAAAAACATGGGATGGGAGGCAGACAGAATGTGATAGCATATGATGACATCACACAACAAGAATGAGAGTGAGTGAGAGTGTGGGGTGAGCACGTACCAACGGTATCACCATTTTCAATCAATCGAGACGGTGGCCAATCATATCGCTCCCACCATTGGCTATAATAAGTTTTCGCCTGACAGAGAAAAAGACAGAACGAAGTTAACATTGGGCCAACGGATCCAGGGAATGCGAAAGCCTGGCTGTAGGGTCCGCGCTTGAACCTCCGATTCTGCATAACTAATTGACAAGCCTTGGCGGCCATAATGTGACCATGGTTTCCCCTCAAAAGTCAACAATGATAAGAGCCCAGATAAGTTATCCACGTACCTTGACCTGGGTTACCGCCTGTGAACCTGAGAGAAAAAGAACAAGTACATGATGCAGTGAATGAGAGGACAGTTAGAGACAACTGAGCTGGCTTTTGAAATTTCTCAAGAACCAGATTAAACAAGGTGCAAGCTATATGAGATGGGAGTTACTAGTACAGGTACATGGCTATACACGAGCTGCATATGCCTCAGGCTGTGCGCCAGTGAGAGCCAGAGTCAGGGTAAGGGGTGCGCGAGTGAGGAGATTTGGCAAGTATTATGTACTAGGTCGAGGGAACTCACACAGCGCGATGAGAATCACAACAACAGCCAAGCCGGGAGGAAGACGTCGCGTCATCGCACGTCAGAGGCTCCACGGGAAGAGAGTGAGTGCTAGTCGTGCTAGTAATGTTAGTAGTGCTAGTAATAGTACTGTTGCCACTACCACGACACTGAAGAGGGCCCCAGTCAATACTAGAAACGACTTTCCGGAAGTGGTGAGGTAATTGTCCTGGACCTAGTGCCGCGTGCCCTTTCATCCTCCCAAACCCCCCCCCCCCCCCCCCTCCCCTCCCCCCTCCCCCCCTCCGCACTAAATGATGTTGCCCGGGCCGGGACGACATGAATGATGTTCACATCATACAGCACGGATGTGATGTAATATGAGAGAGTGTTTCCCTGTGCCGCGCACAACGCGCTAAGTTAGCGCCCGCAGAGCGCTCAACGGAAATCCCTCCCCACTCTTTCCCCTCTCCCCCTGGTAGTAGGGTTTCAAGTTTAGGGTGGGATACGGGAGAGCAGAAGAGAGAGAGAGAGAGAGAGAGAGAGAGAGAGAGAGAGAGAGAGAGAGAGAGAGAGAGAGAGAGAGAGAGAGAGAGAGAGAGAGAGAGAGGAGAGAGAGAGAGAGAGAGAGAGAGGGAGAGAAGGAGAGAGAGAGAGAGGGAGAGAGAGGGAAGGTGGACTCACCACAGAGCAGGGCGAGGATGACGGCTGCAGCAATGCAGAGAGGGAGGAGCCGCGCCATTGCGTGATGCCTTCTGAAGGCAAAAAAGAGCGCTGCTGTTCCAAAATGCAGATAGTAAGGCACTGGTGATGACACACGCCCTAAACCCTGCCTTTTATATCCATGGCACACAGGCACGAAGGATTGAACCCTGCCAATCCCAGCACTGATACTCAACACTGCCTACCCGCTCTCCTGCACTACCAGCGTTGCCCGCAGAATGCTGCCTAGTGGCCACAATAGCGCTGTGGTTGTGCGGTTGGGGAGCGTTGACGTTGGGGCGGACAAGTTCGGGCCGAGTATTTCGGTCGCGCATTACAAAGACCCTCAGCTGCGGTCGAACCGACGATGCACGAAGCGCAGAGGGTTTGTCAACCCACCCCCGGAGGCGTTACGTAGGCATGGCGTGGCTCCTCTAAGGATGCGTGTAACAACCCTTGCCCTTATATCATGGGCAACAAGGGTTGAAGTCCAAACCCAACATCCAAGATCCTAGGATATAAAATGGAGTACAAAATCAACTAACGATCCCCTAGCGTAGTATTTAGGAGGAACCTCCTCTAAGAGATAGCTTAAGCTTGAGGAAGGCCCTTGAAGACAAGTGCTTGAGACTCTGGTCGGGTAGGGCTTCCCCTAGGAGATCACACTAGAAGCCACTAGTGAAGGGAAGCTTGTGAGGAGAGCTTATGACTTAAAGAATAATCACATTTCAAGATTGATTTCTTGGAGTGGGAAGTTGAGAATGAGCTTCTCAGCTCAGACCCCTTCCAATGACTCCCAGTAGCTGCTCAACCTCCTCCATGGCTCCAAGGAGGTGAGCTAGCTTATGTGGCAAAAGGGTTGGATTTCCAACCAATGAGAGGTTTACAACAATATATTCAGATTAGCATATAGTGTACAGCATAAGAATATTCGAGTTGAGTTGGCACTGCCAACCAACTCCCTGGTTCTGATTGGTCGCAAATCCAACCATCGCGTGAGTTGGGAATTTCGCCAACTCAATTTGTACAACTAAAATCTGATTGGTCCCAAGTGTCGACCAATCCTAATCCTCCCCTCCCAACCCTTCCTTCCCATTTCGCGCTACCTAGCATAGGTAGCCGATTTGTGGAAAGCGGTTGGGAAGGTCGTTTCTAGGCCCGCGTACTGTGCAGAGGCCATGCGTTACACTCCTCCCCCTCCAGGTGGCAACGTCCTCATTGCCGTAGAGGGCTTCTGGGGACAAGTGCTTCGAGCGCGCCGAATCACATTACGACCAGGGTCAACACCACCCACTGGTTGTGAGGCTGCTCGTTGAGCCAGGTCTTCCAGATATCCGTGAACCGCAGTTTCGGTCAAATGTTCTTCTGGCTCCCATGAGTTGTGTTCAGGCCCATAGCCTTTCCACTTAATGAGGAACTCGCGTACTGTCTTGCGGCCGCGCTGTCGATCACGGTGCATGAGCACACGCTCGACCTCATAAAAGAGTTCCTCTCCGAGGACGATTGTTGGCGGAGGTAAGTACTTGCCTTCAGCAATGTACTTATTGAGCAGAGACACGTGGAAGACATTGTGAATCTGCAATGTTTCGGGTAACTTCAACTTGTAAGCTACCACACCAACTCGCTGGATCACCTCGAATGGCCCAATCCATCGAGGGAACAGCTTTTGTGCCCCAGGGATTTTGAGACGAATGTTCTTCGTGCTCAATAATACCTTGTCTCCAACCTCAAAAGAGACTTCCCGGCGTTTCATGTCGGCATAAGACTTTTGTCGCTGCTGAGACAGTTGCAGCCAGCGGCGAGCAGACTTGAGCGCTTCTTGCTGCTTGCCCACAAAGTCTTGCGCGGCAGGGATGCCGACC